CTAGTGAGTACGGGGCCGGGGCGGCTCTTCCCGCAGCTCCCAGGCTGAGCCGCCCTGCCCGGCGGCTCCTTCCCCCATTAGATCATCGTCCTCTTAGCAGCGTTTGCACAGCAGTAAACACGGGCTTCTGGAGAGCTGCAGAGAAGGGGAGGGGGTCCGCACGCACCACGGAGAAAGTGGCTTTTTATGCTAAAGCTTCCTGTGTTGTGGGGCTCTCCCGTCAAAAAATGCCCCTGGGGGCACCGTGCGGGATCTGTGAAGCTCAGCTTCTAAATCTCCACCCATTTCCTGTGCTCTTTCTTTCCAGAGAACAGCACATCATCACTGGACTGTAATCAGTAACTGTCCGTGGGAGTGAAAATCTGAAAGGAAAAGGTTTTTCCTTTGCATTTTGCATTTGACCTAGCATGGTGATTCTGCCTAGTTGCTATGGAGGTGTCCTAGGGGAGAGGGAGAAGGACAAGCTCGGAAATTCCCTGATGAAGTTCCTCTGCAATTACAATACAAAATAAAATGCATTTCAAATATGATGTAGAATCCACTTATCTCTGCTTTTCCCAGCTTTTAAATGGAGGAATATTAGTCGTGCTGGAGCAGTTGTGGGAAAATTGTGGGAAAATTCAATTCCCAGTTGTCTTGTGGTAATACCACTCATTTCTATGTACTGTTGTGCACGGATAGTGCTGCAGCCTGGGTCAGCATTTTGACCTGGACTGTGGCAGGGGAGCATATGTTTTGTATTGCATGCGGAGTGTACTTTACTTGAGCTGTTGCTTTTCTTTCCTTTTCACCATTTTAATTAAATGAGAAAAGCAATTGCTGCAGAGGACAAAAGCCATTCTCTATCTCACTCTGGTACTTTTTATTAAAATACATTTGAGTGGATACATTTTCCGGTGTTCTGCAATTGCTCAAAGCGGAATTGAATAATGTAGTATATAGACTTACTGTTTTCTTGGCCAAAAAAAAAAGTATGATCACAAACCCTCTGTTGTTTCTCTCTCCAGTGAATACAGAGGTTTGGTCAAACACACAGGAGGCTGTCACTGCGGAGCCGTCCGCTTTGAGGTCTGGGCGTCAGCAGATCTGCATGTTTTTAACTGCAAGTGAGTTTTTTTTTGTTCCCTATTCTCACAGATGAATAAAAGCTCGTATGCTTTTCCAATCCATACCTTAGAGCTAAAAGACTACACAACTGCAGAACATCCTCTGAGCTGTTTCCATAGGGTATAACCCTAATTATGTCCTGATTCAATATGGGATCAGTGCTGGTGATTTCAGGTGCTCCTTCTTTGGGCAGGACTTCAGGTCTCACATCCGTGCTCATGCAGAAAGTGTCAGGAGAGATCTAATGAGTACAGGTGCTCAGCCATCTGCTTTTTGTTTCCTCTAAGTGCAGTGTGCTCAAAGCACATCAATCCTTTTTTAACTTGGCCTTCTCAAGTGAACGTTACATCTCTGACCACATGTGCTTCAAACTACAACAGTGTCTGATTTCAATAGTGATCCCCCTTCGCCTGCAACTAGTTTGCTTCTAGCTCATAAACTTCTGAATCTTACTTTCTTGTTTGCAAGGTAATTAATATTGGCAAAATTGGCAAAGCCTAGTCTGACAGATTAAATGGATTTCTCTAGAGTTTGTCCTTGTTATGTCCGCTGAGAGTTTTATATGTGAAGAAAAAATAGCATATAATGTTTGGTGTAGGAGAATACCTTACTGGTGTACCGGTGTAGGGTCAGTCTGTTCCATGGGTGTGCTTAGCCAAACACTACTGATACCACGAGTCCACTTTTGCCGCTTACCTCTGTGATGCTAACCAGGAGCCATTTTAGCTGTCAGTGGAATTTCTGTTGTCAAGAGGTCCATGCTAGATCCGATTGCTGTACTACAACTTGTCCGCTGCTTCTAGAAAGGTCTGCTTTTTCTTTTACAGTTGCAGCATTTGCACAAAGAAACAGAACAGACACTTCATTGTCCCAGCGTCGCGTTTCAAGCTGCTGAAGGTAGAGTAAGAATGCAGTAAGAGCATGGCCATGAACACGAGCAGTATAATCCAGTGTCATCCTCAAAGATGCAAGTGGCAGCCAGTTTTCTGTCCTAAGTTTGTCTATGGCTGCTTGGGGGAAATGGCTGAATTTTATGCAGTCTGGTGTGGGTGTGTTAGTGCATCTTAGTGAGCTGACGTTAGAGCTCTTGCAGTTCTTAGGCTTGACTGGGATGGACACGTTTATATACAAAACACAGGGGTTCAGAAAAGGAGCATGAATGCAGAACTCTGTATCTGAAGTAAAGACATGAAGGTGGTATTTTAAATTTTACATTTCTCAGCTACAGGCCCATAGAAAGTAATTAATACATCTATTTTTGTGGAAAACTTACATTGCTTTTCATTTGCTTAGGGTGCTGATAATTTGACAACATACACCTTCAACACACATCGTGCCCAGCACACATTCTGCAAGACCTGTGGTGTACAGAGCTTTTATACTCCTCGTTCTAATCCGGATGGTTATGGTAGGTAGAAAGAGTAAACTGTGGTAACCAAAGCTAACCACCAAGCAAACCTTGGATAAAGACTCCATTGGCTACTAACATGACAGCAGTGAGCAGCATGTTGTCTTAAGAGTTTCTTCCTAAAGTGCTAAACATCTGGAACTGCAGTCTGAACCTGTAGCTCCTCCATAAGAAACAGTCTTAGCCATGACTTCTGGGCTTCTGACAGGTTTCTCATCTAGGCTCCTCAACTTACAGCAATAGCTGGACCGAGCATTTACCATTCCCTGAGATGCCCCATCCACAGAGTGGTGCGGGCATCTCCCACACTTTAGCTATGAAAAGCAGGTTTCTGTGTACTCTGTCTTTCTTCAGGAATAGCGCCCCATTGCCTGGATGATGGCACCGTGCAGACCATTGTCACAGAGGATATCAATGGCAAGGAATGGGAGAAGGCAGTGAAGGAACATAAGACCATCAGAGACATGTCAAAACCCTGACATACCCTTCCAGCAGCTGAACTTGGAGCACTGCCGTAGAACTGTAGTGTGGGCTTTCCTGGGTGAGGGTTGGCAAAATCAATCTCTACATTATTGTTATCTGTTCTCTGTTTCGTAAATAAATCTTTCTATGCTGCCTGTCCCATTCATTTGTGACTTTCAGTTTTCAGACTACCTCTGCTCCAGAAACCACCCCAGGGCTGCTATTTTGTTGCTTTGCCCTTTGGTACTTTGCTAAAGTTTAAATCACAATAAACAGAGCAAAGTACAAAAAAAAATCTAATCTTTGCTTGTATGGATATTTCCTGTGTTTCAAGTCTGGCTTATAAAAATGCCCTATATAAGATAATCTCTTGCTTAGGACATAATACTAACTTAACACCGTTTTTCCTCCATTGACTTCAGTGAATTGACCATGGATTTAGAGTTAAAGGGGATTTGAAAGAGCTTATCAGGCTGAAGTTCAGTAAAGCATTTACACAGGTGCTTAGCTGTACGCAAGAGAGGGGCCACTGAAGTTATGTGATTAAGTACTGTTTTGCTTAAGGCTGGACTTACTTAAGGCTGAGTAGGCATATGCTTAGGCACTGACTCATGGCCAGGGAACAGAGTTCAACACTGTCATACGCTTAGAACAATGGGCACGTACTTCAGTACAACCAGGACCTCATTTGTTGTCTTCAGGAGGAGGATGTGCTCACAGCAACAGATTACACAATTTGGGCTCTGATCTTGACTAGTCACAGCAGTGACTAACTGTGTAGATCCAGGAAAGATGCCTCCTGCAGATGTGAGCCCACATTAATGAGTGCAAAGGCCTACAGAAATGTTAAGTATTGCTGACTTTGCTCCACCGTGACCCCACAGAAACCCAAATCACTAGTAAAGTCTCTGTATAGACTAAGAAATGAAACCACTGAAAGCTGCTTCACTTACCTTTAAACATAAAGGGAGAGGATCTTCAACTCTTGCATTTGTCATTTACGCAAGCAGAGCAGCTTTTAAAACATCTCTTGCGATTTTTATCTCCGCATGTGTTCTATAAAAGACCTAGTTACAGTCTGGGTCTCTTGCACCTCATTCTTGTGTCCTGTTGAGACTTGTGAGTTGATCTCGAGCCCCATGTTCTGAAGCAAGAAGAAATGCTTATGTTTCATGAGGGGGACTCCGAGAAGGTGGAGCCTGCAACACAATGTGTATGAAAGAAGCAGCAGTAGCAGCAAAGATCAGTGCAATTAGAGAAATTTGTATGATTTCTGATGTTTTATTCATAAGCTTTGGCTTTTTAAAGTTCTGACTGAATTAAGACAGGTCTTGTGGTTCTGGTTTTATCTGTGGCGATAGCATGATCTTTGAAAAGTCACTCCTGATACTTGGATTTTACAAAAGCACCAAGAGATAGTTGCCAAGCAGTCCTCGCAGCTATATCCTCTTGGGAAAAAACAGTTTGTGCCATATCTTCTCCAATGCAGAATACTCCTGCATTTTACTCCTAATTAGGTTAATCCAAATTTCTTATCCTATTTAAGCTTCTACAGTGAGAAAATAGAGTAGTTGTTAAACCCTGTTCATCTTAATGTATCAGGCAACAAGATATTCAGAAGCAAGTTCATACAGCCTGTTTTTTGTAGTCTGAGAGAATGCTACACAAAGAGAATCCTGTCCTCTTGAGCACGTAACAGGTGAGTTTTCTTTAGTCCTTGGCCTGACACGGTCTTTTTTTTGCTCATTCTTTTACTCCTGAATTTGTGAGCGGCGTTTCTTTTACAGAAGACGGAGTGAATTGATCATCATATAACGTGAGAAAAGCATATAGATGTGGCGAAACCAGAGGAGCTGGCTGCGATGACACCGCATGGCTCTCTAGAAGGAAAAATAGTTGAGAAAGCATTACAAGAACCTTCCAGACCTAATGTGAGCGCAGTTTCCTAGGCCTCCTGTGAGGTTCACTGCCAGTTTATAGGACAGCTTGTTTTCAGTGAGCAGGGAAGAATTAGTGAGAGGTAGAAGGCTGCCTACTCTGTGGGGCCAAAGGGCAGGGAGAGGCCTGTCTGCCCCTGTGTGGCTGCTGTTGTGCTGCCTAATGTTCAGAGGGGTCCTGCTAGAAAGGGCATTATCAGCTGCAGATTGGTGCTGTGACAGTTTCTTTGTCACGTATAGCTCCTCCTCCCTGTGTGATCTCACGCCTGGGTGTTCACGTGCTGGGGAAGCAGAAACCTGATAGCTGTGCATCTGAGAACACTTTGCGTGCTGCTTCCGACCATATATTGCCAGCTGAAACTTCATAGTTACATTCATATATTTAAATATGTATATATTTTATATATCTAAATATATTTTTATATATTTAAATATTTATATATATTTATGGTGCACCAGCTTAGAAAGGTCAGATTTCAGAAACACAAAACACAAGAGAATAATGCCACCTTTATCAGAGCAGTTTCCATACGTAACTCTATCGCAGCCTCAAAAGCAGGAAAGTTCTGTGTATATCATTTGTGGATTAACAGGACTGTTTGCTGGGCAAATGTTTACATCCTGTGGAAGGGGAGCTAATCAGACTCTGATATAGGGAACTGTGGACTAAATGTGTGAGATCTCATGCAACAAAATAGTTAAAAAAGTACACAGTAGAGAAGGGAACTCGTGCAGAACCACAAGTTCACAAGCTGTATCCATCTTTAGTTAGAGCTATGATCCAAGGATGGTTTTCCTGGCATGCAGTCATGCCATTCTTTGACAGGCCACTCACATGTTCAGAATATTATGTTGGATCCAGACTCCTTTGAAGTACATCCTACATCCTGGACACAGTGTAAAACTCAGTGCACTGTGACTACTGAAGATCTCTGAGCTGCAAATCTGCTCAGCCCTGTCCTGCTATCCACACAGCGCATGAAACAACCTGTCTTGTCCATTCATGTTTTACAAATCACTGAAGATCGTTCATCAGTGACATTTATAATCCATGTATATAATTATTTATGGAGTTCTCTGTGAATATGACACTTCTGACTAGAATCTTCACAATGATGATGAGCTATTCAGACAGGTTAAGCAGGTACCACGCATCTCACCCTGGCTTGTTCAGTCTCCTCCTCTGTGAGTATGAAGAGTGCATCTCTGGGCAGGAGGCAGGAAACGGGTACATCCAGCACGGAGATGTACTTCCGGAAGAGATTCACTGATTCAAGCAGGAGCACACGGCACCCTAGGCGGAGAAAGAGGATCAATATTTCAAAACAACGGTATTCTTGTAAGGTGCCCATCTCTCCAGGCTCAGCAGGTCTTTGCAGGCTCCCCTGTACTACTGGCCACGGGGATCTTTTCTGTGCCAAAGGGGAGCGACTTCTACTTGTGCTTCCACCAGGATCTCTTTGTGCCCAGTGCATGCCTATGACCATTTGTACTGGTTCTTGTTCTGTATGTGGTCTGTGGAAAGCAAAGCTAGCTCTGAATACCAGAGGGTTTGGGTTTTTTTGTTGCGTATAATTTAAATTATTCCTACATAGTTAGACTCAAAGGAAAAAGCAGAGGATGGCTCTCTGAATGCTGGCACTATATCATACAATGGAAATTTAAAACCGCAGTCTCTGGTTCAGCTACAAAAATGAAATTTCCTCTTTCTACTCCAATTCTTTGCTACAGAAAAAATATTTACAAGATTCAGGAATGGCTGTACCAAATATTAGCTCAGGCAGGCAGTTACACTTTAACAGAGTTCCAGAATTCATTGCTCAGATGTTTGTGATGAAGCAGATGAAGGTAACATGTATAAAGATTCTACTGGTGTGGAATTTTTTTTCTGTTTTAAAGAGCCCCTTGAACTCAGAAGTTAATTGCTATTTTTTTTACCATGGCTCAATTGTCTTCACTGATGAGCTCAGAGCTACTGATGGTCCCATTAACAGCCTGTAGCTCTCAAGGGAGCTGCTTTGGGATTTCTTAGGGCTTGGAAGCTGCTGTGATTATGCTCCACACTTCAGACATTGTATTAAAGTTCAACAGAAGAGGTCAAAGTCACAGTTTACACAGGTGGTCAGATATACAATTAGATCTGCAGTGAGATTTTCTTCAGTGTACCCTTAAACAGTGAAATTATACAAAGGAGACAAAGAACAATGCTGAATTGCTACAGAGGCTGCCTAATGGACCATTTTAGTGTGTGAAGCCTGTGCTCACATGTCTAATACTGCTTAAGCTGTTATGTCCTGAGCACAAAGCAAACTGGTGGTGCTCAAATACCTCTTGGCTCTAAAATGTAGGCAGGACTTGTGTCCTCCTAAGGGAAAAGACTCTCCAGGGCAGGGGCAGAAGCAAACATCTTTTCCGAAAAGAGTAACTACGTGAGGTAGGTTTCTGTGAGAGAGGTGATGATGCCTCTGCTAGGAGCCCTTTGGGCAGATCTGCTAAGGAATCTCATCCCACAAAGATCTGAACAGTCAACCTGCTGCTAACTTCCCTACTTTGGACATTTGGTAGATCCTTCAGTCTAGCCTCTATCAAGTATGAGATAGGAAAGCAAAACTTGCTGCTCTTATGGTGAATTAATTTCCTGGAGACACAAGGGAAGAAGCCCGCAACAGTCTCCAAGGCAGAGCATGGTACTGAAAGATACCCCACCAGCAAGCACCATTCCTTCCCCAGCCAGGGGTCTGTGACACACTGAACCCAGGAACAAACAGCATGTACAGGATGATCCTCCACAAATCCCCTCACAAGTGATTTGTGTCCCCTGCCTCTTCCCAGTGACACTAACTCATTTCACTGCAAAGAAAGGTCTTGCTTTTATTCCAGCCAAAACCTGCAATGGCAGGACATGGCAATCCTGATGGACTCCCTCCAGCATCTTTCAATTCATTTTTCTTCTCTCTCCTTCAAGAGAAGGATGTACAATTTGTTCCAACTTTTCAATACCCTTTTCCACTCTCAAAAGCAGAACTGGTAACTTTATTTCAGTATCACAGAAGGCTCCAGGACCGTGCTCCCCTTCCAGTTCTCTTTCTGCACTGATCCTGGGACACGACTCCCCAGTAGGGTGGACAGAGCGTTCAAAGGAGTTTTTTCTCCTGCTGTGGGCAGCAGTGGGCAGGGTTGGAGGCCTCAAGGGAAATCACCGGCACTTCCATCCAGACAAACGCTGACATAAGTCTGTGCTGTGCCAGGAACCGGAGGAAAAGCCCTCCTGAAGCTCATGGACATTTGCTGCAGGCCCGGCCTGCCAGGAGCTGCCGGGAGATGGCGGTGTCCGCCAGCTGCCGAGGGAGCCGGGACCCACAGCCCGCGTCCCTGCCGGCAGTGCCTTGCCCAGGCTGCCCAGGTTAGGATCACTTTTGGCACCCCTCTGCCTTGAAGGCCCTCCTGTCTTAACTATGTCAGTGCTGTACCATGTCCCTACTCCCGTCCTACTGCAGCCTCAGCCATCCAACCCTTGCATGGTCATCGTGCCCGTCCCTGCAGAGCAGCGGCTGTGCAATGCGATCTGGAAGGACCGACGGCACTGCTAAGCTCCCTGCAACGAGTCCCTTGGACGTGCGGGAATGCAGGCAGCTGTGTGACCAGCATGGCCTGTGCCACTTCCTGACCGCGAGCCTGAGCTCCTGTCTCGCTCATGGTCCACCTTGACAAGTGACAGACAGAGCAGTTGCTGTTTAGCTGCCATAAGGTTTCAGCTTGCTATTGCAAAGGATGCTCTGCAGGGCCAAGCGTTGCAGCTGCACATGGAAGTGCCCTGACAGTTCTTTTACTCCCACTAAAGACACTTCTTGTTTCCAAGCAGCAAACTTGGAAGCAAACTTGTGATGTGCCATGAGTAAGGGAACCACTCTTCCCCTGCTTCTCTGCAGAGATCCTCTGGGCTGCTTAGCAGTCCCAATCTGTTGGTGGGTAATTTCAGAGAAAAGAGTTAGTATGGTGCTGCACTGTGGCACAGCAGAGGAAAGGAACAGATATGGATCTCCTTGCTCTTGTAGTCAGCATTCCCACTGGCCACCTGTTTGCTTTTCAGTGCTTACTGGGGAGGACAGGGCTAGAGCAAACACGGGGCAATGGGTCTTTCCTTTCCTGGATGGTTGTTAATGGACTCTGGCAATGCCATGTGAATTCCTACTTGCAATGACGGGAAGAGAACCCGGTGTAGGGTTACCCACCACCAATCTCTGAAGCCTGGGCTGCTCTGTTAACAAAATGTGCTCTCCCTTTCCTCATAATTTTTTCCCTAAGAAATATTAATTCATGCAGCAATTGTGCCCTTTTGTTCCCCAAAGCTCAGCAATAAGGGCTCAAAACAACTGCAAGTGATTTCAGTATTAATCAGTCTGGCTTCCTGGGTCCCTATCGGTCAGATCAGGCAAAGCAATGGCATTCAAGCCTCACAAAATGAAGGGCACTGTAAGAGTCTTCTGTGTTAGTGATACGACAAGGATCTCCACATGCTGACAGCAAAGGCTGCTCCACATGGGAACGTGAGATGAAATGAAGCAGGGAAGGAATGTACAGTCCAGGGAGAGATGGAAAAGGGTTCAGAGAAACAGGCTGCTCCCTGCCAAGCAGGATAAGAGAAGTGCTGCCATTGATTAGTCTACTCCTATGACACCAGCAGGTGAAGCTTTTCAGAGCCTGTTGTGACTGTGACCTGGGCAGGATGGGATTAACAGTGTAATACAACCTCTCTGGGTTGGCAGAAAGGGCAAGATCAATATAGCTAGTGGATTAGGCCTAGAATAGAAGTGCATGAAGCCTGCAGCCTGTTCGGCTTGGCTTTCTACTTCCAAATCACTTATGCAGCAAGTATGCCTAGAATGAGAAATTAGCAGATCTATGCATGCTAAGGGCTTGCACTGCTCCTGACAGACGTTAGCACACCAATTCTTTTTCTTTTGGAAGAGTGCTGGTTATAGCTGGATGGGGCCAGTAGTAGGGGTGGATGCATATCCAGCAGCTGTCTCGGCTTCCTGAAACAAGCCTATGTGCTTGTGCCTGGACTGGAGAACTTGACTACAGATTATAAGAAGCCTGTTGTGTTTATGCTGGCTAAACGCATTAGAAAGCAAAGCAGGATATTTAGGGTGCTCATTTGCATATCAGTGAGGCAATGCAAGGCTTAGCTGGCTTTTGCATTTGCAGAGATTTTCTGTGGATTCCCTGATCACATGGGCTTGCACAGGTTCACCCACAAATAGTTCCCTCTTACCAACAGGAGAGCAGCACATTTCCATGGCCTGGACATGCCTTTCAGCTCTATCCAGACAGCCTCAATCCCAGCATCACTCTTGTTTCATTAAGCCCCTCTGATGCACAGCCCTGCACGCCTGCCAGATCAAATTATAAATACTGGGAATTTCAATGAGACTGGAACTATATTTGGAAAGGCTTAGCGTAAGCAGCAGCATGGGAGCTCCCCGTTCCTTTGGTGTTTGTAGGTCATGTCAGATGTGATGTAATCAGAACAGCAAGGCTTTCACATAGCTTCAGGAGTCTCTTGATGCTGCTAGAGAAATGGAAATGTTGTCTATAGATGGGTCTGTTTCGAACCTGAACCAATTTGAGGCGCAGACCATATTCAGGACCACAGTATATCTAACAAACCTGCATGAACAGAACATGAGGGTGGTTCAGTCTAGATAAGGCCTGACATCTAGCAGTGACATCTACCACTGCAGTTCCTTGTTCTTTCTCTGTACGGCACACAGCACACACAGAGCTCTTTGCTGCATCCCAAAGGTAAACAAAGAAAAGGTCCTAGGAATGACGGCGGCATTAATACTCCTGTTTCATAGATGGGGGAATTGAAGAGACTAGAGTCAGAACTCAGTTAAACGGCATTCTGCCATCTTGGCTCATGCTCTCTCCACCAGATCTTGGTCTGCAACTTGCTGCTAGCAGGGAATTAAAACTGATTTGCTGTGACACATCCAAATCCTACAATGATTCGGGAATTAGAATTGAAGAAACAAAGTCCAGATGACTGCTGAGGGAGCAGGAGGTTGACTGGGTGGGCCTGGTTGAGCCACCTTCCTAAGCTCTGTCCAAACAGCTCACAGCTTTGTGCTTAAACTAGTTCCACAAATTTGTCCCTGAGTCAGGCACTGTTTGCTAGAGATAAGGGCTGCAGATCTACTCTGGGACAGCAGCTAGAAAAGGGGGTCAGGAGCAGCGTGCTTCTGTCCTTCACTTCTTTCTTTTCCCTACTTGTACAGAGAGTTTCTCAGAAATACTTGCTTATTTACAGGTGAAAGAAGCCACTCCAACAATTTATTCTGCCAGTGCAGATTTCAGATACCTTTCCCATACTGACCACATTTTGATGGAAGCTTAGCTTGGTACATGCAACCATTTTTGGCTGCGCTGGTAATGGTTTCTGAGGCCCTTTTCACACACACACACAAAAAAAGGCTTATAAGTAAGATGTGACCAAAAACTCTGGGACTGAGCTGAGAGACCTGGGAATAGCACTCATATTCACACAATACAGCCAGAGGCATAGGCCAGACACTGAATCATACCACCAAGACAGGAAAACCCTGAAGGACAGAAAAGTGACTGTAGAGAAGCCTGAGCTGGTAAAAAACTGCAGGGAGATAAAAGGGCAAGGAATAGTTCAGCTGTGGGTTTCATTTGCATTGCAAATAAAGGTGAGTTAGGCAAATGAAACCCTGGACAGAACATTCATGTAGACGATTGCTTAATGCCTGCAGGGTCATGGATGCGTAATGTGACATACCTTCAGGTAACTTCCGCTCTGAATGCAGGTACCTGTGAATGAAGAGATACATGGGGGTAAACACTCAATGTTACTCAAATCCTGATTTCACAGGTATAAACTCTGTATGCTAAATCAACCCTTTTCTCTTAATACACACACATTTACAATGGCTAATCTTGTAAGAATGTTCAGGAGTCGACACTGGATGCACATGTCAGGCAGTGGTAAGTCTCATTCCCCATATGATTCTGCCATTCCTTTCCTCATCCTGGCTGCTGGGACACAGAACAAATAAGCTCCATAAATCCAACCTGCTCTCAAACTTCTCATGTTGCACTAAGGGAAACTGCAAAGAGGCTGCCAATTCACCTCTGAGAGCACTGGCTCTTTAAAATCTTGTGTTTGCTGACCGGGGACATTGCCTCAGTGGCACCTCCTGTTCGGGGACCAGCTTCTTTCTTTCTAACCCGTGCTGGCGCTCGGACATCTGAGAAGCTGCTCTGACTTTTTGCTCACAAAGACTTTGATCCCTTCATGACTGTCCTGAGAAGTCTCTGTAGCAAAAATGCATCCCTTGGAAACAGAATGAGGGGACCAGAGCAGGAGATGTGAACAGTGATGGTACTTCTATCAAGAAGTGTAAGCAAATGATCCTGATATGATGAAGGCATCAGAGGGTATTAGCTTCAATTCCTTTTTAATTCTCTTGTTTTTCCTGCTCTAGCCTAGTTCATAGCTTCAGAGCACTTATGCTCGCATCACCATTTGCATCGCCTCCAGATTTGGCCCATCGCAGGGATGGGAGGAAGCAGGTCTCCAGCAGATGGCACTCAGAGCTGTCCCACACCCAGGCTTGCTCTTCCATAAGAAAAAAAAAGTCCAAACAATGGAACATTTGCCAAAAGGAGAAGGGAAATAAAAAAAGAAAAGTTATTTAACCCTGTGTAATATTTAAAGAGATTGTTATCATCTTAAAGTGGTGTATTTAACGAAGGACAATGTGACAGTTCATGTGTAAATCAACCAGGATAAAACATACATTATATGTAAACTGTTATGTTTCTCCAGTCACTTTCAAACTAGGATTATCTCTGGCTATTGGTTAAGTTCAAGGAAAAGGATTAGCTACACAGGCGTAGACAAAATAGGAAGCACGGAGTAATGAATACCCAAAGCAATTCAAAGCAAAAGTCAAGCCAGAAATGCAGGTCATGGCAGAACTCAAACAGCAATGAGAAGACATATGCCTTAAATAGATTCTCCTGCCAATGGTCTCCTCTTCTCCAGAGCCAAAGATCTGTAAACAATACCATTTTCTACTAAACAATGGCCTTGTAATACTGACTTGGCCACCTTCTACCCCACTACTCAAGTCCTACAGTTCTGACAAAGATTGTTAAATGTTGCCTTGTAAACATTACCAGCAATTTTTTTTTTGGGGGGGAAGAAGGTTTAAGTATCTCCATTAATGTCTGCTCTGCTCTTCTGCCAGAGGTTTCTTCCCTCACAACTAGAATCTGGCCACCCAAAGTGATTCAGCACTTGGTAAAGCTAGCAGGGTGGGAACTTTTTAAAACAAGCTTGGAGAGATAAAGCAGTGAGTGGTTGTGAAATTTGGCTAACTATCCAAAGTCCTAGTGTCTGTTCTGGGTGTGCTGCCATAGAGGGACCTTCAAAGCACTAACTGACAGCAAATTAAAGGATGTGAAGAGCTGCTCCAAGAGTGAACTAATAATAACCATTCCTGGCCACTAGAAACAGAAGCAAGATGAGATCCAGTTCATATGGAAACGTTTCAGCAGGGAAGGAAAGTTTGATCCAGCAGCAAATTAAGGAGTTTGTGCTTGTGTAAAGGTTCAGGGAGACACAAACTGTATTTTCATTTACCGAAAGGTTCTCAAGGCTGCTGCCAGGCAGACCTGACACTGATCTGGAAGAACAGGCATGAAGAAACTGATTCCCTCCTTATCCTTTTTGTCCTGAGCCAAATGCTTCAGCACTCGGCAAGGCTCAGTGCAGAGCTATGGGAATGGGCTCCACCCAGCTATAATGCTGCAGAGGAATTGCAGCCTTGCTCGTTTGTATTTCTCAGGCAAGAGATGGCAATGAACTGTGGTTGCAGAGAGAGAGAGAGAGAAAGAAACACAAAACTCTACCTCCTGCACACGTTCATAAAACTAGCCAATCCTCTCCCAAATCAATCTTCTCGCTCTCATCTCCACCCTGCTGGAGCTGTCTCTGTGGGACACTTCCAAGTAGGGGAGAGGTTGCAGCTCTCTGTTGTTGCCATTTTGGGAATGTTGTTTTATAGATTGGACTTGCTGTGGTTTGGGTGAAATGAGAGTTTGGCATAAAATCTCAAAAAGTCAAACAAACAGGCTCTTTTTCAGGAGCTCTTTCCATGTGTTTTTTTCCAGAGAGACTTTTTACAAATTCTTCTTCTTTTTAAACATAAAGTGTTCTAAGGTGGCTTATTCTCACCTGTCCACAAAGTCCCAGAGGCCAGCTGATTACAGGGCACCTCTCACTGCACCCTCTTTATTATGCCTGTGGTAGGTTCAGATCCACATTTGAAGGAAAGTGGGACTCTCTGCAGTGAAGAACTTCAAAAGGCTGTGAGATGTCTGAAGGCACCCACCATTTTTGCACTGCAAGGACTCAGAACCGGCTCCTCCCTCATGGACCAGCTGCTTTGAAAGCTCTTGCTGTCTGTAGCTATCAGCTGCATCTGCTCAGCAGAAAAACTGAAATGGTCCAATAAACCTCATCCTACAAACTGCAAGACTGAGCTAGTTCCCAAATTCCCCATCTTTATTCAGTCATCCTCAAGGAAAGATGCCAGCAAAGTGAGTGGGCTAGCTCCTAAGAGGCACTGACCACTGATACCTCCCCATGATGGCAAGAAGGAACAAGTCAAGATGGAGCTGAAACCTCCGTCTTGGGGAACACAGAACGCCTCGGGGGTAGAAGCAGGACTGATGCCCTGGTGGGTGGATTACAGTTTTGGTGATGTTCTGTTTGATGAGAAATTGTTCATTGAGATCAATGACTTCACTCTCCAAATAGTCTCCTGTGCCAAAGGCAAAACCCTTCACTGAACTGACTGTGCTGGCTGCTGTAGAGCGCAGGGGAAATACAATTCTGAAGAGCGTGGCAAAGAATGGATGTCTTAAAGATGCATTGGGGCTCCATTTAGGATCATAACCTCTAATCTGCCCAATTAATCTGATGAAACAGATGTGAAAGAGGAAGAACAGCCAGTCTCCTAGGAATCACAGAGACATTAGAGGGATATACTTGCCAGATGTTGAATGTTTGCTATCTGGAACGCCTCCTCCCTCCCTAACCGGACTTTCTGGCTCCATTTCCATGCACCCTGAACTACATCATGTAGCAACATGCAGTTTGTAAAACACTAGTCAGGCACTCTGTACTCACGTGTATTGCAGTGGCAAAAGATGGTTCTGCCAGTCAGAAAAAAAGGTGTTGATTCCAAGATCTTCCAGTTGACAGAGCTGCTCTGTGGCTCTGTGCTTTGGTCCCTGCACTGTCTGGGAGAAGAATGTGCAGTGTCACTGCTCCACTCATGCTGCTAGCAGCCTAGTGACACTGGGAAGGACATTCCTTGAGGCTGTTTCTTTGGAAAAAAACTTCTTTGGGGGGGATCCCTGCAATGCTGATGCCCTGTGCTCAACTCTATCCTATTGGCTCTCAACAGTATCACGGAGGGCACTGGGATGAATAAACTTAGTCAATGTAAGGAAGGAGGGAGCAGGGGCGAAGGAATGAGATAAAATCTAGGACAACGTACCCAGCTATGGGATGTATGCCAGGCATAGGGCAGAGTCCTCTGAGGGGAAGGGACAGAGTCACAAAGGGTAAACAGAGGAGGACAATTCTGTCTTGACCTGATGGAGGCAGTCTGGGTGCAATCACAGCCACCACTCGTAAGTTCCCCCTGGGACATTTAAGATCAGTAAAGCAAATCACCAGAAGTGAGATGGACTGTGAAAGGACAGGCTGAAACATAAGATACTGGAACCTGTTATTTCTTCAACACTCTTCTTTATTTTGCAGGGAACCTAGAACTCTGGCAGGGACTAAACAATCCCAAACAAACACATCAGTGACACAGGAAATCCTTTTCCAAGACAGAGCAAATAATAACCAGTTTTGAAAAAAGGATTTTCTGGGAAAAGGCAAGGGAAATACAAAACAGCACCCTGCTTTAAAAACATAAAAGAGATGCCACTCACTTGAAATGCACGGGCTACAGCTGCTTAAAAGGAATGAGAGATCAGAGTCCCATTCTAGCCCCACACTGTAAGAAGGCATCGAATAAAAATGGTAGATGGGATACCATTCATTATCATCAAGCTAACCACCCAAGAAACAGCTTGCTTCCTGCTCAACACATCCTGAAAGACCTGGCCTTGGAAATTCAATACAAGCAGAACTGTGCTTTCTAGGGATGTAATGCAGTTGGTGGCTTTTGAGAACTGCACCCACCGAGTCTGTGGGATTTGGCTGGACAATGCACTGTTCATTGTTTCGATATACTTATTTGAAACTGGCATTTAATCAATCCTCCTCTTTCAGGGAGCCTCAGTGCAACCCTTCTGCACGATGCTATGTCCCATGGCATTCATAAATGGGGCATTCAATAGTTAGGCTGTGACATGTAAGTACAACAAGACATCAGTGGCACTCAAGCTGCATCATAATCAACTCAAGAGTGATAAAGCACTAAGCTCCCAAACAGCACCTCTGCACAGTCTCTTTTACAACCTACCACTGAGTTGGCAAATGTTAAGAAACATCCTGCAGGACTGAGAGGTGTTTTTCCAAATGGAATCGACGAGAATAGGCTCAGCTAATGATACTTTGATGTAGCTTTTTATATGGCATCATTGATATAAGTTTTATGGATGCAGTTGCTATAACAACATAATGCACAGTAGTTAAATATAGCAGCTCCTATTTTCCACTCAGTTTGCTCTGCCCTAAGCAGACAAGGACTATTCTTTTCTGTTCTAGCTGGGATGAAATGGATTTGATAGCTCACTGAAGAAAAGAAGTGGTCCAGTCCTTCCTCCCCCTCACAAAGACCATTCCTCTCCCCCCTAAGCAAGCAAGCAAACAACAAAACCAACAGCCCCCTATTTGCTAGGCTACTGGGCAAGAGGGCTTGTTTAAAATCAAAATGCACAATGACTCATGCAAAACTAAACCACCTCGACATTACATGTGATCTCAGTGCAAACACTGTCATTTCAAAGTGCAGGAAAGAGAGGTTGTCAAATATTCCTGTCATGCAGTATTTACCATGCTTTATTACCATAGTGCCTAGTGACTGGCCAAATGCTGAGAGGGGAGTAAAGTGACCTTGATGTCACTCAAGACCTGCTCTTCCTTGTGGATGCATGTACAGGATCCAGCCTCTCTTGGCCACAGGGAAAGCTCCTGTTTTGGGGGGTAAGAGAGAATGATGTTGCCCAATCAAGGTGATGGGGAAAGAAGCAGAGCTACAGAGGATCGCTTCCAATTCTCCCTTCTTCGCTATAGTGGGATTTTCTTGGTTTTGGGTTGGGGTTTTTTTTCCATCTGGAAGCCAGAACTGAAATACTCCCAGGGGAGACTGAAATCAAATAGCAATTTGTGTTCCTCTCCCATCCTGTTTTTTCTTATTTTTCCCCTGCAGAAGAACAGATCTACTCTCAAACCTTGGCATTTCACAGTTCCTCCAGATCTGAAGCCTAGGCACATAGCAGCAGCTGGACTCCCTGCAAGCTGTCAGGAGAAAGGTTGCTGCAAGGGGAAGGGCACATTTCTTCTGAATAGTTCCTGCTCCTTTCAATATAACCTCTGTTCCAGACACTAGAAAGAATATTTATGCCCTTAGCAGAAACTACTGAGCATCTGCTCAGCTATGACCATTTCCTGAACTGTTTTGTTCCTTGAAGCTGTTCAGTAATTTGCACCCCCTGAAGCACGGAGCTGTGGCATGGGTCACACAGCCTGTTCTACCCCTGCTCTCGCAGAAAGTAATCTCTTAGATAGTGGGCACAAATCTATCTCCCACAGACTGGGAGCATCCAAAAGAGCTGAGGATCACTGCACCAGCCCTCTGCTTCATCCTTTCCACTTACAGCCACAGTGGAGGCAGAACCCTGCAGACCTTGTTTAAAGATGGTTAATAAATACATTGCACATGATACCTGGAGGGGAGAGTTCATTTGCCTTTTTCTTGCCATGTAACACTGGGGCCCCAGGGGCAGCAACCACTGCTTTGCAAAGCCCTGCTGTCAGGGAGGTACGTGAGAAGCCTCAGCATATGCTCCCAGCTCTGCCTGTACTAGCCAATATGTGAGAACTCATCAGGGCACTGAAAATCAGGAGTGATGCAGTCACGCTCTACTTCCTCCATGACACAAACTGAGAAATAATGAGGGCAAGCAAGCCACTAAAAATAAACTTAACCTTTCAGTGGCCACAGAATCACTCTTGCCACATGCAGATGACTGGGCCACCATGCTTATTTCTGCTGATTCAGGACTGGAAGAGAGACAAGAAACAAACCAGCCCTAAGTTAATGAGAGCTGCTTATGCTCTGGTGTCCCTATCAGCACGTTATCTCATCAGCCCAGGACGATGTTCTGCTGTAGGCGAAGGACTAATGCAAAGATCTGAGTTCAAGGGGCTTGCATCTAATGAATACTTGCTAGCAACATACTCTGGGGCAAGAAGAGGGTTAACATCCCCACTGCACACACAGGAAACCTAAAAAACCAAAGGTGGGAAAGTGATTTCTGCACAGCCACAAAGTGAGACAACAGTAGAGCTGGGATTAAAATTGAGAGTTTTCCTTAACTTTCTCATACATAATTCAGCTGCTAGCTTGTTTTCCCTGTATCTCTTCAGGATGCAGGGGGACACCTAACAATCTGCCCTCCATTCCCATTTGCAGGCCGTATGGCAATTGACTGAGCAAACACTGAGGTCCAGGCAGCTGGAAGCTCTCTAGTACCTCTGTGCCAATAAGCATCGGTCATCAACCTCTGTTCCTCACTCACGTCTCAAATAACATTGTGCCGGAAAGCATTTCCCCGCTTAGCCCAAACAAACACAGAGTTTGCTTTAACTCCACCCCTTTTCCTTCTGCTAGGGTATTTCAGAACTTGCTGGGAAAAGCCATGATCCCCTCTAACGCTGAATTCCAGCCACCAGATAGCATCAAAGACTTTCAGCATCTTCCCAGAGGAGTTCAGTAGGTCACAGAACGGGTTCTGTGGCACTGCAGCTTTCTCTAGGCAAGTGAGAAAGGCAAATCACTGTGTTGTTGTTAGCAAGGAGAGCCAGAGAGTTATCTGAATTGCACAGATGATTCAGAAAACAAATGTGTGCTAAAAATACAAGATATAGTTGCAAAGAGTTCTTCTCTTGCCTGGGAAAGGCAGGGGCAGCTCTGGGGGAGATCTCTCCAGGACACAATGAGGTCTGAATGAACAGAGGGTTAAAATAAAATACAGTAGCTGTCTTGCCAGCAGAATTTGGGTGACTTTAATACAAGGGATTTTTGTCTAGCAACCTTCCCACATCACAGCGCAGAGACAGAGATTCTCAGAATGTAAAGAATAAAGTGGTGAAGGAACAAGTTGACTTAGGAAGAGTGGTAAATAGGGACAGCTCCAGTGAAAGAGCAATGTTCTTGGGTCAGAGAGGTAAATTCAGTTACCCAGACAGGATGGCAATATCCTCTGGAACAATGGTGCAGAACTTTCCAAAATCCAGCTATCGCCAGCTCAGGCATCAGCTATTCACATACTCTCCTCAAACCAGAAGTGCAAAGTGATCTGTGGTGTATTTTAGTGGGATCAAGGACAGGAAGAGCAAAGAGGGCCCAGTGAAAGGGAGACTGGCAAAGCACCAGCAGATGGAATAATAAAGGATGCTGTAGGTCATTTACAGAGCTGTAAGAGTTTCTCCAAACAGTATCGTGTCCCACAGCCTAGCACTCAGTTATATCCGTTAAGTTAATACTGCTCTTGGCTCTAGCTATTAGTTTTCTGCTTACACACAAACACCACATTCACTCTGTAACACTATAGTGAGGCATTCAATTAAGTGTGCGGAACACTGTACCTTATAGCAGCGTAAAGAGAAATGTGGTTAGCATGACCACTCACTCCTCCTGCATCAAAGGTTACCACCTGCAAACAAATCATAGAACAATAATCATTTGAAGAAGGAAAATGCAGTTACCAACTTTGACTTCTAACACAGTACTGTCCCAGCCCATTGTATCTAAAGAGTTGTTTTTGTCTTGCACAATGAGGCCTTGCGTGTGAACTCATGCTACAGAAATACAACTCAACAAACAAGACACTCTGGAACTAGACGACTACACAGTCTAACAGCTTGAACAACAGAAAGATGACAAATATCATGTTCCCACTGGCAGGATGCACTTGTTACTTATTACCAGGCCAAAAGGTTACTTTCAGAGTGATCTTTTGCAAACTTGTTCCTGACCCAAGAGGTCCAGCTCTGTGAATCACTCTCTCCTGGATTTGAGAACATACTAGAATGCCTGCAGATTACAGGGTGAAACTATAGTTTGTTGTACTGTGAATCAGGACATATTGCTTTAACAAGAGCAACACAATCATGTACTACCGTCCTGATTGTAACAAGGCTTCATCACAGGATAACATAGTGATAAAATAATCTGATATAAGAACAAGCCTTTTTAAAGAATCAGCTGACTGCACTTTTTTTACAAGCAAGTCAGGCTTTTCGCTGAATGAGAAGATCATATTTTTTATTGCTTCTCTGCAGGGAGAAATGGGAACTTCATAATGCAGAAGTAATGTGTGAACACAGCACTAACAAGTCACCGTCCAAAGCACAGAATACCCTCGGCTCCCTGCCCTCAGACCTATCAATAATGTGTCAGGGGTGAAGCATCCACCCTAAGGGCTCACTCTGCACAGTATTGTGAAGGGGGTTCTTAAAGGCTCCCGCTTCCAACCTAGAAGACAAACGGGCCGCGCAAAGTGTGGAGCAGACAGGGAATGTGTGCTGGTAGGTTTTCCAGATGGTGAAAGTGACAGTCCTTGGACAGCCTAAAGTTAGGTTTTTGCTCTGGGAGAGGCCAGGCAGCAGGGCTCTGCACAGCTCCCGTCTCTATGACCAGGAAGAAACCATAACCTCCCTACATTTCAATCAATGTCTGCTTCCTTGCCAGCTTGTTCTCTCTTCAGGGAAGGAAATGCTACTGCCTTGCTTACTCACCACAGCTCCCTTTTCAAAATCTATTTTATATGCAGGACCTGAAGTACTGGGTTAAAGATCAAGGGAAGATCAAAAGCCGCCCTGCCCGTCCTGCAACTTGCTACTCCACCCTCCAACAGGAGAGGCTCTCTCCAACACAGGAGATACTGTGTAAAGAGGGAGAGGAAACACAAAGACAGTGATAAGAAATACTTCAAAACCCACAAACTCCAGACAAGCCTGCTTCCACCCAGTACAAGTCCACAATTAGACTTTCCACTTTGCCCAGTGGCTGTAATAATGCTGCCACCAAGCAGCGGGGTTATTCATTGATGGCAGGAAGTGGCAGGACCCAATTTGGTTTCGTTCAGGTACAAAGAAGCATCTTCTGGTCAATCCTTATTTTATAAGGAGAAAAGTTATGTCTTTGGCTTTGGCTGCTTTTGCTGTACATCAGCATTACCTGAGAGACTCTCTGCAGGGACTGCGTGGTCTGGCATGGTGCTAAGCCCTCCCTAAGGCTATCAGCTTTCTGAGTAGCTCATCTGGGAAAGACATTATTACATTCTGTACAGCTCAGGGAACCAGCATAGCACCCTGTGTTTTACAAATAAGAAAAAACATGCTCTGAAGTCACTCCTACCTAGAGTGGCACTTTCCTAACACGACAATGTCCCCCACTCACTGCAGGCAGAATAAATTCCTATGCAGGTGAATAACAGTGTGAGTCTGCTAAGGGCTGGACTTGCACTAAACCTTTTTACTAAATGGGGACAGAGAGAGGGTTTGTCTCTTCTGCCTGATCATTTCTTTTCATGTAGCCTGTACAAACAGAACATTTTCAAGACTACTACTGTGCTGTCAAATGTGGTTGAAATTAGCCAATGGGCTCTGAAGTCTGTTGTCTAAACAGGGTACTGATTCCACAGCATCACTGTGGTGCTCGTGACTTAAAGCAGGCAGCAATCACATGTAAATATATTCCTCTGGCTTCAGGGATTCGTTTCATTGATAACAAATCTGAATTTCTTTCTCACATGCTGAAGATATTTTCACACGGGAGCATTTGCTTCTTCCACATGGTGCAGCTAGCCGACGTGTTTGCTTTTAGCACATAACCTGAACCAGGCTGATGATGAAATCAAGCAAACAATCAGGGCAGGATGAGAAAACCTGAACATCTTGAAACTGTCTGGGTTAAAAACAGGCTTAGCCAGTTCGGGGAGCAAAAGGCTGGGATAGGAAATATACTTGATATGGAAATTATTGCTCAATGAAATCTTTAGGGCAAGAGGGAGTTCCCTCCCCACACCTGTTCTGAAATGGGAACTGCTGCCCTTGGTGTCGCAGGGTTTTCTTCTGGGTGACCTTGGTATTCAGGAAATGGAGCTTTCACTAGTGGAAGCCAGAGCAACAGCCAAGACAAACAGGTCCAGAAATCCCTTCCGGAGGAGGCAGAGCACAGAGGAAATTACTCAATTACTAGCAGAAGAGAAAAATCCTGAGAGGTCTGGAGTCCATGCTCCTTCTACACACCATGTGCATCGGAGGAAAAAGGCACTCAAAGCTGTGGGTCTCCCTCACTCTTTCTGGTGTCATCCAATGCTTCAAACAGAGCACACATCTGCTCAAGTAGATTGGTGGGGATAGAAAGGTCTCTTTCCTTTTTAAGAAGGGCCATCCCATAAAATTGCATAGCAAGCAACTCCATTTCTAATGGCCTTCCTCTGAGCATCATTTCATAGGCCCGACTTGCACTTGCAGCGGCCAGTGACATTCAAACTCCCTTTGATCCTCTTGGGAGGGTCTATGTTTGGAGGTGTCTCTTGTTGCTACTAAATCAGAGAAGCTAAAGACTAAAAAGAATGGTCAACTGGATGAAAAAGGAAAATCTAATCATGATCAACATCCCAGTGTCTACTGGGTTTGAGTTGCAAGTGTGTAAGTCATGCACAGGCTCTTAGAATGAAAGGTCCTGGGGGCCTCCCACTCACATACCCCAAAGCACACCTGAGGAGACTGCAACATAAGTGAGGAAGGGAGGAAAAGGGATGCCAAAGTCTGTTCCAGCTCTGTTGCCTCCTCTAGCAAACTCCACATGCTGCCCTCCATACCTGGTGTTCTGCAAAAGCATTTAAAATCGTCTACAAACATCACAAAGTCAAACGCTCCCAAATTTTAGGAGAGTGTGGAGGCTGAGATCCAAAACATGAGAGCTGAACTCCCCCTCTCAAATATAAGCTCCAGCTTAAATGCCATTTGTAGAAGGATCTGGCTTTCTAGGCTGATTTGGAGCTGACCCAAGACAATGGGACTCTTCCACAAACAGTTGTACAGATGATGTTTCCATCAGTCCATAGTGGAAAGCAGCTTGTAAGAACGTGGTATTCCTGAATTCTGGTCTTGGCACTGCATCTGCCCCAAACACAGTCTGAATGTCGCCTCCTAATACAAGCTCTGCTATCACCAAACCTGAGATCCTTAAGAGTAGAGCCTTAAGGCCTCTAGTAGAGCCTCATACTCTAGAGCCTGCCTGGGGCTCACACAATACTATGTAATTTATTTTTTATACACCGAATACTTTCTAATCTGGATCGAGACAGACTAGCCTTGGCTGCCTCTCCCAGCAACACTGGCTTTTGCTTATAAATCCAGCAGGCAGGAAATAATTTCCAAAGTCTATAAATTAGTTTTGGCTTTGAGTACACCAACTGTTAATTTCTGTGTCTGCACTATTTAATGTAGAGCTTGGATGAATTATGTCCCTGTAGCTCTCAAATAGATTGAGTTACTCATGGACTTCCAGGGCAATTGAGGAAATGAGAAACTATGTGATGGAACAAAACTACGCATAACATGGTGCGACTCCTTGCCTTGCAATCTTTCCTTTCAGACATGTTGGAATTGCAGCCTACTTCTCCACTGCCAGATGATACATATGTTCTGTAAATGAAAGATACCATTGTCTATGCTATGACTAGGGGGAGAACTGGGGAAAGTTTTCCCACTGGGATAGCTAGAACAATACATGTCTTCCAATCATGTTAACTCCATTGAGTTAGCTTGTTGTGTTTGAAACAATGCAATGTTTTGACAAGGCTCTTTTAACATGTTAAGCCAATTCTGTCAATTTCAACATTACTAAAAAATAGACTCAGTTTACCTTTCAAGGCAAGGCCATTGTCTCAGGACAGCAGAGATGCTCTAAGAATGGCTAACAGATAGCAAGCTTTGAAGTTTTAAAATGCAGAATGTTAGACAAAGATAATTAGGCACTTGCCTTGCCGTTGTTGGCAAACTAGGTCTGCTGTTAAATGAAAGGTATTATAGCAAACATGTGAGACCTATGTGATTACTTGGGACACTTCAAATAATGCAAGTTTACAGAGCAGTTCATTACCACCATCCCCAAGAAGCTGCCTCAGTGGCCTTTGGTACTGCTGACATGTTCTGCTACAGTAATTCGTCCTCACTGCTGCTCAGGGAAGTGCTGAGCAGAATGCAGTGGGCGCTGCCACAGTGTTCCTTGTTACTACAGCTATACCCGACACCCGCAGCACAGCGGGTAGAGTGCTAGTGATTGTGCGTGTTTCTTGCTTTGAAAACCCCACACTTGATTTTTCAGCTCACGCTATGTTAGTGGCAGACTCCTGCCTCCCCCAGCACAAACAGCTTGAGTTCAATTTCCTCTGAGGCAAAGACCTAACCCTTTCTAACCGTCCAGAGGAGTTTTAGTGTTTTCAGAATTTCTACTGGGATTCTGGTGCACTTGTCCTAGTAGTGCCCGTGAGAGTCACAAACATGCAATACAAATCCTATTGTGTTAGGAGCTTTCAGATTAGATTAAAACCTATCTATTCATGGGGCCAAAAGGCACAAAAGGAGTCCAGGAAAACTGCATTTGTCTCTGTGCACAGCAATGAATTTCATGGAAAATTAGCCTCAGAATCAATAGAGTTGGATGCACGATGCTGGTTCTTGCGCTCATGGGGCTTTCATGCTACAGGAGATGTGGTTTCTCGTTTTGTGAACTGCTGAAAGGCTTTAAGATTTTGTGATTTTGCTGCTAATCAGTGTGTGACAGTGACATGCCTGATCACAGCAAGGTTCAACAGAAAAGAACAGAACACAACCTTTTCCGTGCTTAGGCCCTTATTCCTGTTCTGTGGGGAAAAAACCTATACCAGTGCTAGGAAATCTCCATGGTTTAATATTCTTCAATCCTGACCTATATCCCTGCTAATCTAGCTCTCTAACACACGCCTGCCAATGTACTTCAAATCTAAGCCTAATCATAAGCCTAAATCCCAGATGGGCTCTCTCCATCAATGAAACTTAGCAACAGGGGCAAAATGGTTGCTTTAGAACATAGAAAACATTTGAGGAGTTAGTAAAGCAAAATTCCTCCACTGTTTATTTCTCACTGGGAAGCAAAGAAAGATCTCCAGAGAGGAAAGATACATCCAAACCACACCATCATCCTCTTCCATAATTTTCAGTGGAGCAATTCTATTCGTTCTGATCTTCTAGCAGTTGTTTGAAGTGCATCAGAATGACCATGTCTTACTTGTCAAGACACAAGAGCTGTACAAATACTCACAAAAAGTCTTAAACTACAAAATGCAAAATTGCTTTCAGTTATCATTTTAGACCTGAAATTCAGCTGGGCTTATTCAGAGGGTCTTCTACAACTAGTGAACCCCAAGATGTACTACCGTGACACTTACTAGTTCCAACAGAGTTTGCAGTTTTTAACCAATTTGAAGCTTTTATTTCAGTGAAGGCTGGTGGCACTACAACCCAAAAGAGGCTTCATAAGATCTAGCTAGAGAAATGGATAAACGTTATAAAGCAAATATTCAAAATGAATATATATATACTTATATATAGGTATACTTATACCTAGGCTATTTCACAGAGACTCCAGAAGCAAAATCCTAACCTTCAAGACTTCAAAGAAAGCTTTCAGAGGGAAGGAAAAAGCCTAGAACACTAGCTCAAGAGTAATGTGGAAATTGCCTATGCTGTAGAAAGTTTCACATTACCAGGTTGATGTTATTGGCTTCTATATGCTTTAGCACAAAGGCTGTGAGGAGTTGTGTGTCCCATTCAACAGCAGGATTATCTGGAAGATCCCTGAAAACGAGAAGTGCAATTAGTCACTTCACTGCTGAGAACTTTATAAAGACCATGCTAGAAAAGAGAGATCCTCTTATCAGAGAATGAAATCAAGATAAATTTATTTATCATATAAAACCACTGAACTTTACTTAGGAGTTTTACAACCTTGTATATTGGAGGTTTGAAAGGGAAACAGCAGTTCCAACACCCTCCTCATAGATTTGCCAAGGTCTCCCTTTCTTCTTACCATTAAGGCAGACTTTAACTGCTTTGCTTTAAGCAACATCTATTTTGTGCAATGATTCTTGTTCTCTATTCATCCCAATAAAATTTCCTGAAAGACTTTCCAGTCATAATCTACTGGTGAATTACATATGAAAAGTAACAAGCAAACTCCTGCTCTCATTTATACAGGAATAACCCATTAACTTCAACCAGAGGACAACAGGACCATAATTATATTGCATGGATTTGATCGTAGTTCTTCATCTGTTTATTTTATGCTTTGCATCCAACTGGGTATGCAAAGCATACTGTGACTGAATACTCTGCCTGGGTATTTTAGACTGCAGGCTCCTAGGGGCAAGGGACCATGAGCCAAATGCAAAATAACACCAGGCAGCCAACAGAATTATTTCATATTTACACAACTGAGAGCTGAATTTGACCCCCCAGTCATTATGTTTGAATGGTGCCAAGAAAACATTGCTTGCAAAGTTAAAAAGGTTATTAGTAACAATAGGATAACACACAGCTGCTGAAGACCAATAATGATATGTTAAACTGGTCTTTTTCTCAGACCTTTTCCATCTTCTGATAGCCTGATAATTGCTGTGAAGTGGTTTAGCAGAAAAGCGACTACACAGCATTCTCACACAGACACATGGGTTTGGATCTGAACTGATCCAGCTGTTTGCTGCAGGGAGCAGGGGTGCTACTTCCCAACACTCTTCGCGCCTTGCTGACTCCCCAGAGAGCAAGAATTGTAACATCTGCAACAAAACAACAGCAAAATGCCTCCTTGGCACATTCCAAAGTAAAGCTCAACCTGGGTCTTCACGAGAGGTCTTCTGGCCACAAATTTTTCCACTGCTAACAGTAGTAGCAGTAGAAGGATGAGCCTAACGTACAAACTGACCATTAGCATTTTACCCGTTGTGTTATGTACTCCTGTTCAGCACAGGCCAAAATAATGTGCTGTTAGAAATCCCAGCAACAAGGGAAGGCACTTCTACATTAGTGTACACATTCTAGCTATGGTCCGTGTAGCGGTATTATCAACAACAGAAATTTTTGTTGTTGTTTGCAATTCCCTCTTGTATAGACAGCATCTTTGCCTGATGTATACAAGACATTTGAATTTCATCATAGGAAAGATTCTTTGGTACATCTGGTGGTTGTCTCATCAGCTTAACAAACCTGCATCTCATCTACTCTAAACAAAAACTTTCACATCTCATGTTTGAAGAGGAAGTGGCCCTGTTGACCCCGAAGGTATTACAAGTCCCACCACGTCACAGCAAGCTTTAAATGGAGCACGTTTTAAAAATATGCTTCAACTAAAAGATCCCAAGCAACATGCACACTGAGCAGAGTCTAGGTGCAAGTCTAACAGTCCTTCAGTTGTCTGAATGGTACCTTTGAGGTTATGTCAAGGCTTAATCTGATAATATTATAGTAAATTAGTCTAAAAGGGATTCTTCACTGGCCACTTACAATGCAAATATCATTCCTCTTTTTGGACAGGGGTTAAATGGAGCTGTGGAGGAAGTGAAGAGTCCCATTAAAACAGGAAGGGTGCTCAAACAGTGAGAGGTCAGAAAAAAAAGTAGGGCTTGGAATTTATGATGTCCAGGAGGCTTTGGTGTCATAGCCACTGCACTCAGCTTTATTGGGCTGTCTCCAAAAAGGCTGCCGGGTAGTGGAGCAGGTTTTAACTAGTTTAGACAGATAAAGATCACCCTCGTTCAATGGAAATGAACAGCTGGAGGCAACGGTTTAGAATCCCTGGAAACAAAACAATCTGAAGGCATGAGCAAATTAACTCCATGAACACTGAACTGATTAAGCTGGAATATTCTGCAAAAAATTCTGCTTCTCCCGCTTACTGCTGCTCATGGAGAGACCACTCACTCCTAGTAAGGAAAAGGAATTATTTTTCTTGCATAATGTTTGTTAGGCACCAAAGACAGAGAAGTTAATCTTGCCAAACCAGACACACATGTATATAAGCACATTCATAACTCATTAATAGTCACGATAGCCCACTGAAGTATTCCTAGCTCATTCTGCAACATGAAAAGTGACACATGACATGCCCAAAGTCACCCAGAGAAGTCAGTAGAACTGGCAATACATTAATCTAGATTGCTCCAGGAAATTACTTTTTTTTTTTTTGGTAAGAGTTTGTATAATACTTTGTAAAGTCAAAAATTTAAGCGTTACCATGATAGTAGGGACCCCGCTGAAAGCATGACACCAATAACATTCTGCCTGTGCTCTGGATATCAATAATTGGGTCCAGGTAAGGATGAAAAGGTGACTAAGAAAACCAAGTTCATATACACCGTATAGCAATGCACACAAGATACATTCTTACAGGAGGTCTCTGCATGCCCTAGGAACTTTGTAGGGACAGACAAACTTTGAAAGCTGCTGTAGTTCACAAAATCATCTATTCAGTACAAAGTATTTTTCCTAATATCATAAATCAGTGCTCACCAAACCTAAAAAGTCCACTGACTTGCTGCACTATTGAAATAGGTTGCATTCATTGCAACAACGTCAGGCCTTAGTATCAGCAACATTCAGCATTTAAATGGTTAACTCCACACTGCCTTTCTGGCTAAGGCTGATAATGCCTCTGAGCTCAAGGTCGAAGGGCTGAGATAAAGGACTATAAAGGAGTGAAAATTAGCACATTCCCTGGAGCAGACTGGAGCTTGTCCCAGGAGACACGGTTCCCCACACCCGCCCTCCCTGTCCTCTGCCCCAGAGAGCTGCTCTGCTCGTTGCTGCTGTCGGTCACTGCGACAGATCAAGATATAAATCCTGCACTGGAGAAGCCTCCCAGGTCACACTGCTGGAGGGTGCTGGTGGAAAGAGTAGAGGGGTTTGGTCGCTTGGCCTCATTTCCACCAAACCGTTACGGTCTGGAAGTGATGTTTATGGGCATTCCACATGACTGATAATGAATGCAGGTGGCTGCTTGGATGCAACCCTTGTTGACCAGGGAAAAATAGGGAGATGCATAGAAGCAGCAAAAAAAATATTTTTAATGGAATAAGGCTCCAGAAATGTTGTTTTCCCAGCTTTTTTCAGTGAAAGCCATGCTGTGCACTGTACAGGGAATTTACAGCTGTGCCAAGAGATCTATAGACTGAAGAGAGAGAGAAATGGAGAATTATGGTGCTGCAGTTGCTGCAGTATGGAGTAGTGTCTGTCTTTGCTTACTGATTTCAG